CTCGGAGATGCCGTATTGGGACCATGGGGCTGGAGCTGCTGCGCCGGGCCCGGGGCTAGATGTGGTGTGTGTCTTCGTCTTGCCGCGTCCTCGGCCTTTGCCGGGGCGGCCACCTTCCCGGGCGGCTGCGAGTCTGTCCCCTTCATTGGCAAACACGGCCTCGTTAGTTTGGTCAAACGGCGTTGCCGCCGCGACCATGGCCACTCTTGGCCGATGCTGGTCCCTACTCGGGCCTGGCGCAGACGAACGCAGGTTCTTGGCCTCCTTGTTCGTGATAATAATCTGCGCGGCCTTGTCAAAGAGTTCCGCCGTTGTCGTCAAGGTGTCCTTGACGTGAGTCGGGGCATTGCTTAATGTCGGACACGACCTTGAGATGAAATAGTGGTGGATGGCCTTGAAGCCCGTCTGGATGTCTGGGACTGATGTCAAGCGTTGGTACTCGGCAATCCAGTCGGTACTCGGCAGTGTGTCTTCTTCGAAGACCACTAGCTTGTTCATTGCCTTGATCTCCGACGGCTCGACTTGGAACCGCTTGTGTCACGCCGCCTTCAGATCATCCCAGTTGATCTTGGTGTGCAAGTCGCCAGCTACTACTCCGTACTTGGACAAGAGATTGTCCAACCATGCCTAGCACGCGCCCCCCGACCGGGAGTATAAGTATGCGTGGTGCTTGTGTTTTTTGACGTAGTGTAGCTGCAGCGTGAGCTCGAACTTGCAGAACCATGAAATTGGATCTGTCTTTGTCGAGTCGCAAAAGATCTCCTGCCCGTCGAACTTTGGAGTTGTCTCGCGCGGTTCCGAACTCGAGTGGTTGGCGGCAGTGCAGATCCGCTGTTCCAACTGTTGCGTTGCGGTCTGCTGTAAGTGCACGCCGTCCTTGAGGGAACCGACGTCCATCTCCAATGCTTCGAGGCGATCAGAGGTGTTGGAAGAGCTGGCGTCGGGGGTGGTGACAGGGCGCTGCTCCAGCTGCCGGAGGCGGCCTTGGACTTGAGTGAGCGCGTCGTCGAGGTTGTGGATGTCCTCCTGCTGTGTAATGCATGTTGTCAGGAGGTCCGTGAGATGGGAGAGGAGGAGAGCGATCTTGTTTTTGCTATCCTCCAGCTTGCCATTCTCGGCCTCGGTCCGCCATTCCGCTGCCATTGTGAGCAATGTTTGCTCTCCGCTAAATATTTTCTCCCGCCGTTGAACTCGTTCTTCATCAGCAGCCTTTGTTGCTGCCTCGTCGTGTTGGCGCTGTTGCGAAAGTGCCAGCAGACGTGCCTGCTCGGCGTCCTCTGCCTTCTTCTTTGCTGCTATTGCTGCGTCATCTGCCCGTCTCTTTGTTTCGGTACTCCAGGCCAGCATCCGGACGTGATAGGCCTCGTCTGCTTCTCCGGACCTCTGGTCCATGACGACTGTCTGTGAACGCAACAGCATAGACCAGGCTGGGGGCCTGCTGACGTGGTATTCCTTGTTGCTGACGTGGCCTGCTGACGTGTCCTGCTGATGTGAGTGTAGTATCTGCGTCGACAACGACCCGACAAGACTTAAGCACACAGTGAAAGGAGAAGTATGGAAGGACGCGGAAGACGAGGAGAGGAAGGAAGGGAAAGAATATGGAGATCATCGAGAGGAGAGAGAAAAAGAACAATACGCAGATGTACAAAAAATCCCGAACGCGACGTAAAAATTATTACATGAAGTTCAAGCGGCTAGGACCCTACTAGTTTCAGTCGGCCGCTCCCGGCACTCTTCAAGGGTCTTGAGGTCGCAGAAAGGTACCAAACCTATCATGATCGAAACTATTTATACAGCGTATTGAACCTGAGTAGAAGAAACAGTCATCAACCTCAGCTGAAGAGAACCGACGTCAACCTCTCTGTAGTTCGAACCAGTGACCTTCTGAAAGAATCTGAATAGAAGGTACTTGGAGCTGCTACAAACTTCGCCTACTCAAAAACAAGAATCCGTCCACGTTCAACTGAAAATGAATAAACCACAAAAAACGATCAGGTCCACCTCAAAAAACATCCTTCGGAGAAAACCACTTGTGTAGGCCTCAGTCTTAACCAGACCCATAGTGATTTTTCAGACCCTTACCGACACGTCTCAAAAAAGATTTTTGCCACGACTTTTCTTCATAGGTCCCATGTGATATGTCGAACCCCTATCGAACCATCTCATAAGACTTACCTATTTCCATCGAATTAAGAATCTGTTCCAGCCCGTCAAAACAGAGATCCAACTGCTCCAGCATCCCATTCTTCGAGAGAAATTCTTCAGCGACGTATCGAAGTATTCATTCGAATATCCTCGCAGCCACAATTCATTTTTCAAAGACAAGAGAAATCGGAACTCCAGACCAGGAATTGACGTGAAGGTTTTTGCCCTATGTAAGAAGGACCCAATCACAACAAACTTCTGCCACCGACTAGAGTACGACAGAAAGTTTTGGATGCTTTGAAAAGTCAGAGTATAGTTTATGTCTCTAGATTGATTCTTAAGTGTAGCTTGACAAATGATCTGCGCAGGGTCAGTCAACAACCGCAGTCTGCACCCAATGAACTGCCAAGTTTGTCCTTCGTTCGTCTGTTCTAACATCAAAATACTATCGTAACATTCTCGAAATTGACACAAAATTTGTTCTGCTCGTACTTTCGAAGCAGCGTCATCAAAAACACAACTAACAATAATTGAAACATCATCCACGATTCTGCAACTGTCACCAATCTCCGGTCCCTCCCTAAAGTCGAGAGGAACGGAAACTCATTGAAAGCACAGAGAAGGCAAGCCAGCGCTGGACTGGTAGTGTTCCCCATAGGAATACCCACCTTTTGGCACAAGAGCTTTCCGGCTGCTACTACCACAATGTGTTCCAACTTGAATTCGACAAACGAAACAATCTTCAAGAAACGAATTAGAATCCAACCCTCCTCTCCCTTCCCTTTTGTTAACCTTACTTCCTTCCAACAGACCATCAAATTCATGACTTAACCAATAGTCCACCAACCACATGAGTGCCCGCAAAATGGATTGATGGGACAAATTAGAGAACATTTCTTTAATATCAAAAGAACCACCCACCAATGCTCCGTTCTCTTTTACTCCTTGGTTGACCGAAATGATCCGCTTCATCAGATCATCAGTTCGTCGCAAATTGAAATGTAGCTTCTCCGGCAATCTCCACAACAGGCAATTGATTGCCTTACTCACCCGGCGGGCTACAACCACAGAACCTTGAGAAAACGACGGGCATATTGGCCACCAACGACTTACATCTTTGTGTTTGGGAATGCAATAGGCACGACCAAATCTCCCATCCTTCTTCCATGCACCAATCGTATCAAATCCTCCCTCGAAGTAACTTTGTTTGCAAATAGCCCCCAAGCTGTCTTCAGACATAGTCATCTTATCAAACGAAACAACTTCTCCATACCCTTCCCGTATATACTCGGGCAACATATATACGTTTCGACAGGATTATGATCCAGAGGTGAACAGACCAGACCATCAAGCTTCTTCTGAAAAGAAATCACCTCGTCAACAGACCACCACTTCTGCTTCCTTCCACAAGAATCCAGAATACAAGAAGAGAGAAGTTTAGAATTAAGGAGTTGCGGTGAAAACAAGGGGAGTGACTGCAGATTGGAAAGAGCGGAAGATTTGAGACTTCAGATTTGAGACAGTACGCGTTGTTGACGGGCACAAGATGTTTTTAGAGTTCAACATGCTTGGAGGAACCTCGAAAGGCAGATCACCGAGACGAAATGAAACATGACCGTCAACACGAGGAAAACGACCATCAGTGTTAAAGCACGTACATCTAAAGTCGCCATCCCTAGCAGTCTTTCGGTGGTTATGGATTAAATCTCCAACCGATTCATTTCGACACCACACAATTCTCATGCGACGCACAATCATCTCTTTCCATGCAGAGTTGATCTCCAAACTTCGTACCACGTGTGAACAGACCTTCCTGATGGCTGACTTACAATATCGATGATCGTAAACCACACGAATCACCAACCGTTGTCGGATACATACTCCGAAACGAGCAGACGCCACCTTGGACAAAATACATCTCAGTTTACCACGTGTCCTCTTTTCTTGAAAACATCGCACGACGGAAAAAGCAAAGACCAGTTGACCTAGATCCCAGTTGGTCGAAGTGACACGAGTCAGCGGACGACAGAGTAGACCAGTCAAGAGGGGTTTGAGAACCAGACCGCGATGGCAAAACGGCACAATCATATCAAAACAGAGAACTACTCCTCCCGTCACCCAGACTTTAACATTGTGTAATTGATCTCTCCCATGAACCGTCGACACAATCGAGGAACCATAACATCGTTTTACAACTTTCCAATTGTCCAACATCTGAGAGCCGCCTTTACATGCAATGACCACCCGTGTGACATTGCGATCTCGACAGTCATTGAGAATGTGTAAGAGAAGGTGGGACTCCACACCCGTAGAGGAATAGAACACAGTCAAAGACTTGCTAACTGCTCCATCTGTATAGTGAATTGCATGTTTCTTCTTTCGAGACAAACTCAGACGTTCCCTTTTTCCCGGTCTCTTCTTCCTGGTTTTCCTCGGTCTATCTCTGACATTCAACGAAGTAGAAAAATATTTAATAAAGAATTTTTCAACTGATTCAACATCTGCTTCTGTACAACGACAAATGGGAACAGCCACGTACCTTCCTATTCAGTATCTTCGTAGCCACCTGTATAATTTCTCATTTCGTCTTCCCGACATTTCAAGAACGATAAACATGTTCACTCCAACGAACACTCAACTCACGCTTGGTGCACCCAACATACAACTGTCTACACCAGGGTGAAACGAGAGCATATACGAGCGGTCCCTTCGCATCTCCTCCGGACTTCCACCAATCAGACACATAAGGACATTGCTTCGTCATCCAAGAAATCTCGTTACTTAAGATTAGAGCAACCACAACCATCTGAAACAACCCATCTATCGTCTTAGATCTCGCGTCAAGAACAGAAGAAGATCGAATAGATGCACATCGAGTAGCTAAGGACCAAAGATCTGCCGCGTTCGGGAGGGATCCTAAGAAGTAGCGGAATCCCTCCGGGCCTCTGCCTGTTCTTCAAGCGGCTCCCCTGCCACGTCATCGGATACTTCCTGAATAGCAGGTCTCTTCCCGAAAGCTCTTTCCACCCTCTTTGCTATAATTTCACCTATAGTATCATTCAACGTGGTATACTTGATCCCCTCTTTTGACCAAATTTCCACCATTGCATCTTTCTTTTTGCCACGCATGTCCTTCTTCGCGTCGCTGATGAACTTCGCCCGTTTCGACTCCTGATCAGAATCTTCTTCTTTGTCTGCATTTTTTCTCCCTTTGCTTGTTCTCTTCGCAGTAGATACATCTCTCTCGCCAGCCTCCTCCAATTTCTCTCGGAATGTTGACTTCGGTGCTTCTTCTTTGTGTTTCGCCAGTTCTTCCTTGAGTCTCGCATTTTCTTGTTCCGCTTCCCTTCTCCAATTCAACTCCCGTTGCTGCAGCCCTTTGAGTGCTTCCACTTCCATGTTATGGAGTTGTCGCAGCTGTTCAAGATTTCCTGGAGATTGCCGAGGAGTCGAGATGGGCACATGCAGCTATGCAGATGGAGATGTGGCTATTCTGCTGCGCTTGTTACCGGTTCGCAAGGCTTCCTTCTTCCAATTCTCTGCTTCCGCCAAAGCGTCTTCCCGAGATTTCTTTAGATTCCGAATCTCCTCTTCCATGTTCTCCATCTTCCCACAAGCTCTGAACGCCGATTCCATCTTTTGCTTCATGACTTCTTGTTCTTGTACCAATCGTGCCAGAAAGGCATCGTCTCCGCCCGTAGACCGACTAGTGGAAGGACCCCTTGTAGACCATTGGGAGTTCTTGATCTGAAGTGATTCAATTTGCTTCTTCAACTTGTCTATCTCGTCTACGTTAGCTCCGACATTTGGGCCAGTCTTCATCGCCCCCCACATCGCTTCAAACTTCGCATTCCAAGTTTCATTCATCTCCCTCTGAAATTCTTCTCTATCCTGCTTCTCTTTCAGTCAACGTTCTTCCACTTCTAACTCCTGTTTCTTCTTTTCTTCTTCTTGAAGTTTTGCCGATATCTTCGCCATCTCAGCATCATACCAGGCCTTCAACAACGTAACGGTTTCTTCCAAAGCAGCCACTCGTTGGTTAGTATTAAACCAACCACTTCCTTTCACATACTGTCCACTTGAACCAGCAGCAGTTGTAGCGGTGGAAGAAGCAGTAACTGGATAAGTAGACGAAGTGGGTAGAGGTGGTGGAGGAGGTAGAGAAGGAGAGGTCAAAGGTGGTGCAGGGAGCGCCAAGATGGGAGCCGAAGACGAAGAGGGATTGCTTCCCTGTCGAGGATGTGGACACCATCGTGCAAAGTGGTTCGACTTCATACTGCAAATGATTATAGAACTGAGCCTAACAGAATCCTAGAACTGTGAAAAAAAAATTCCGGAAAGAAATGACAAGTATTCGGAATTACTCAGATGAGAGTATTCGCAGTTTGGAAAATGGTACTGCAGGAGGGATTTCCCGTATCGTTTTCAGGAAAACGAAATTCGGAAATATTCCGAGTTTCCAAGTAACGGGAAATGCAACAGGAAATCAAAATTTTCGAAAAGAGAGATCTTCCGGATTTTCAACAACGAAATTTCGAATTTTCAGAAGAAAAACGAAAACGGAAATTTCAGATGTTGCGCTATTGCGATTTTCCATACCAGAAATAGCGAGAAAACAAAATCCAAGAAAAGAAAAAAAAATCGATTTTCGGCAGTAAGGTAAAGAAAAAACGTGATTTTGGGGGCTAAGTAGTGTGCTCTAATCAATCAATCAAGACTAATCAACTACCTAGTCCCCGTACACGTGTCAGATCAGGTTGTCCTGATTCATGTGCGGCATTCCGATACCAACAGGTACATGCCCAGATGGGCGATGTACATAATAACCGAGGATCCGCAATGTGATAAAAAGGACTGAATGCACAATGCAGTGCAAGTAGAATCTCAACAAGCAACGTGCATTCTGGTACATACAAAATGGTGCTGAATAGCGCAGGGAAGACTTAAATACCAGACCTGACCTGACCGGGACTGACCTCATTCACGTAGTACAAGATAGCGAAGCAGAATGCTAGAATGGTAATGACTAGCCCAATCAGTGTTTAAACGCAGACCAAACATGCATCGTGTCCATCACAAGGTGTGAAGGAGCCTGGCGCTGTGCACAGGAAGGAAGCGCCAAGTCCAGACATACATAGACGAAGAGGAGGGGATCAGACGAAGAAGAGGGGAAGAGATGGGAATGTCGTGAACACCAAGTCTTTGTCACAAGTCCCAAATAATCCCTCGTTGCAATGTCTGAAGCCCAAAAGTCGAGTCCGGATCCAATGTCACCAAGCTCTCTCTCTCTCTTTCTCTCGTAGTCTGTTGATGCAGTGAAGTCAGATAATGAGAGGGTGAGAGGGAGATGGTGGACTGGGAAGAGGAAGAAGAAGAACTCTCTCTCTGTCACGAGCCAGATACTAACCTGTGAAGTTGGCGCTGTGCTGCAGGTACCTTGAAGACGAAGCTGGAGCAATGGCGCTGCAGGTAGGTACTCCTGGCCTCCGCCCAATCTCTCTCTCTCTCTAGTACTATCCTAGCTATGGCGCCCAGCGCTGAAGACTACAGCTACCTACTGGCGCCCAGTGCTGAAGACTAATGCTA